GGAGATATATATATATACAAAGAAATTTAAAAAAAAAGTAAAAAGTTTATAATATTAACCGCGCATAAACTGCAATGTAAGTACATAGAGCCCGTGAAATAAAATTGAAGAAAAAAAAAGGAAAAATATATTTTGAAGAAAAGAAGAAAAATTATTACAGATTAAAATAAATTTTAAAAATAAAATTAAAAAGCCAGAAATTAAAAGAACGAAAAGATATAATCTCATCATCAGCTCACACGATTATATCCGTAAATTAGAGTGCTTTCTAATATTGTATTAATATAACCAACGTAAAATACAGGGTGTAGAGAAAATAATGGAAATACTTCTACACACTAATAAATTTTTTTAATATTTCTCAGGAAATAATAAAAGAATCATTTCATAACTTTAGAAGCGTATAGTTCTCATACTTATGAATGATGTTTAAAGCTTTCCGAGGTTTAAGGGACTGACAATAAATTACAAACGGTAACGTGTTTTTGGCACTCTATGCAAAAAATGTATCCATAAATTTGTAACTTGTAGCAATTGTTTTGGTTATTATATACAATAATCGGACAAAATTTCGTAAACCTAGCTTAAATAAACTGCTGTTTGTAGAAAATAAATCNCATGGTGTTGCATTTTCTACAAACAGCAGTTTATTTGTGGAGATATAAACATTTTTATAAAGAAATAAAAAACATTTTTCGTCTTACGATTTTTTGCTATAATTTTAAAAATATTCTAAATTAAAGAAAATTTTTAGAGCAATTTTAAATTATTTACAAAATTATTGTTTTAAAATTAATCTAAAATTGCGCAAGATTAAAATAGTTAATTTATACTGCCCATGCACGGGAAAAGTTTGAATTTTTTTCTTCTTAATTTTGCAGAGAATCGTATTTGGCAACTAATAAAAAAAAAAGTCCGATTTGAAAATCTTAAAAAGTTTCAAGAAATTTTCTAAATAGTTTTTGTACCTGTTAAACGAAACTCAAAATGATAAAGAGTTTTCCACAAATTTCATTTTGTACTGTCAAATAAGATTTATTTTAATGACACCGGCATTATTAAGGATCTGCTTCCCATGAAAGTAATCTTTCTTTCATCTGCTCTTTCTTTCCTTATACAAATCTTATTTCGATGTATGGACGTTTATTGTAAGGCATTATCAGTTGCTATTTAAATTTGTCTTATTATACAAAATAATATTTGTCGAAAATCCCTTATCAATTTGAGGTTTTTTTTTAATTAAAAAAAAGTACAAAAACTACTTAGAAAATTTCTTAAAACGTTTTAAATATTCCAATTGGATTTTTTTTATTAGTTGCCAAATACGATTATCTTCAAAATTAAAAGAAGACGGCCAGGTGGCCGAGCGGTTAGCTTGCCTGACTGCGAGGCCGATGGCTGCGGGTTCGAATCCCGCTCAGGGCATGGATGTTTCTCTCTGTGTGTTGTTCTCGACTGTGTGCTGAGTGAATGTGGCCCAGCCTATAAAACGGGTATCGGCGCCAGTGTGGCATGGGTAATGTTGCTCGCCTCCGTGACTTAGGTTCATAGGTGCCCACTGGGTAACGTTAAATGAGTAACACTTCCGGCAACTTCCTAGGTGAAAAACGAATGTTCAAGTGCCTGCCGTTAGAAGAAAAAAAAATTAAAAGAAAAAAGAATAAAAACTTTTCCCAAGCATGCACAATTTTAAATGTATTTTTCTGAAATTTTAAAGCAATAGTCTTGCAACTAATTTTAAATTACTATTATAAATGTTGATTCATTTTATCGAATGTTTTTAAAGTCATAGAAAAAAAAACAACATCAGACAAAGAAAAATTATTATTTATTTTTTTATAAAAATGTCTATATTTCCATTCATATTTAAGCTGCGGTTACGAAATTCTGCGCCATTGTTGCATATAGTAACTAAAATAATTGCTATAAGTTACAAATTCAATGCAGCACAATGCAAAACATAGGGTATTCAAAAACACTATTCTACGTTAGTAATTTAATGTCGGTCCCCGAAAACTTAAAACATCATTGATGTGTATGAAAAATAGCATTATCTAAACACTTCTGAAATTATAAAATGATTCTTCAACTTCCCAGTAAGTATTTAATAGGTACTGATGTTTCTCCTAATCTATCTTCGGCAGATATTAAAATATCGAATAAATATCAAATATTTGGGACATTGACCAAAGCGATTCTCTTTTCTCTGTTGTGTCAGGAAATCTGTTGAGTGTTGTGGTGAAGGGAGGGAAGACTGCAACTGCACATTTCCGCAATCCAATCCAATCCAAGAAAGATACTTGCATGCTAATCAGCCTGAGGAAGGGACCCAACGTAGCAGGAGAGAAGGATGACAGCAGCGTTGAAGTTGAGTTTGAACAAAATGGACAGAAATTCCCCATGCAAGTATGGACCTATCCATGGGCTGATTTCCTCAAGACTCCCGTACAAGTGGGATATGACGGGAACATAAAAGTAATAACATTTTAATAATCGGTACTTTAAAGGCACTGACTAATCAAATATTGATCACTCATTATGTGATATGAATATCAGACTTATTCAATTTTCTTTTTTAAAAAAAATGATAATTCAAATGAATGCATCGGATTCAAATCAATGTTAAAATGTATTAGCTGTATTATAAATAACTCGTTTGTATTACTGACTAATAAATTATTTTGAATCACTAACACTAATCAATTCATACCAGAATCCATTAGGATTATGGTCAAAATGGATAATGCATATAAATAGAAAAACCTGATACAAATGAATGTAATGGAACCGATTCTTTAATTTTAATAAGCAAACAACGAATGAATGTATTTATTAGAATGATTGATTTAAAACAGCGTCGAAAAATAATGAACAACCTTATTATAGTCAACTGATTCCAATAAACATATTCAAATCAATGGATTCATTCAGATAGTGAATACATTAAATGGAAGTTGCGGTTGTTTATAAATGTCACTTGCCAATATCAGCGATCCTGCTTGGTGAATTAAAGCAATTTTAAGGCAAATTTGAGTTTCTTGGGGCACCCTCTCTATGGCCACACACACGCCTCTCAACTCGTTTGTAGGGCGGACCCATTCATTTATTCATTCACAGATCGTCATTTCGACCTGAACCAGAGAACGATCACTCTCCAATTCAGTACTCTCAAAGGTATGATTTGTTATGAGAGCAAGGAGGACTTTGTGACTCGGCAGATTTAACGCGCACCAGTCACGAATTAAATGGAAGCATCTTAATAAATACCAAAAAAAATATATTTTTTAGAATCCTCATAAGAAAGATGAATTTTTAAAGCTGTGTTTTTGTAATTACTATTTAAGTAGAAAAAAAAAATTCCTAACTCTGATTGTAACATCTGAGTAGAGAAACGAAATTAACCTGCAAACGAGAACCTGATTGACTAGCTTTTCGTTAATGAATGTATTTCACATGATCAGGTTGTATCCTTCGCATCATCGGATGCTGGGAGAACGCTTGCTGATGACCTCCCTCATTAATCGTTTTTTTTTCTTTTTTTCTAGTCAAAAGTTTCTCTCATTTAAGTACTGCTTCATATACTCAGTCGGTATTAATGTTTCTTCTTTCTTTCAGTTTTCAATTAAAATGAGTGTTCCTGTCGGCACCCCACCTCAGTACATTGACATAAAGGAAATACAAATTACGAATAAACCCTGCCAATATGGAAAATAAGAATTTAAAAATATCCAAAATGTCGTCTATAGATGTATTCATACAAGTGTTTATATTGGATAGTGTTTTGCTACCACCCTCTTTGGAGAATAAATTTTGTTGTTTGAATATGTGCGTATTTTTCTTTTAAAAATATTTTTTGCTTCTTACCATATTAATATCCACTCTATAACTTTACGATTTTTAATACGATTGGAGTTGTCAAATCGCTAAGAGTTACAAGGATATGAGTTTATTTCCCGTTTTTTGAATTGAATTCTGCATTGAGTTTTTTAGAAAGTTTTGTCGAATTATATATTATAAGACTTTTTTTTTTCAATCAAAGAGCCATAACCATTACCTTACGTAAAACTAATTTTAATAACGCGTGTAGTATTTTAATTTAATATAGTGTGTCACTCAATGAATAATCCTCAGAAACTGAAGTGGGAAAATAAAAATTTCATTATCTTCAAAATATATGAAAATGTAAATAAAAGGCGTTTTGAGCACTCAAAAATTCACGTCACGAGTCATTAACGTCTAGCGAGCCCTCACAATGTTTGGCTCGCTTAAATATAGGTACCGATTTTTAAGACTCGGGCGTGAATGAAGAAAAGGTGATATGAAATTTTAAAAAAAATGTGTAGTTACCATCAAAGAATGGAAAGTAAAAAAAAGGGGGGGGGGGAACTAGAGAAACCGTGGTAGCTGAGACTGAATTCCTTGCCAGCGCAACCTTGGCTATATTGTATAAACCGGACGGGTTTTTAAATTTAGACTAAAGAAGTTCCTTTTCAAGAATGCGATAAGTCCATTGCTGAACATTCTTGGGGACACATTTAATCTCGATAATCCTAACCCTGCCACATCAGCTCATCTTTATACCCGAGAATTTTGTTTTATACATGAATGCCGATTCCCTTGTTAGTTTCTTACCATCTCTCCATGGTACGCGGAAATGTATTTTGCCCAGAATCGCCTTTCTCGGCTATTTTCTGGTTTTTCTAATTTTATTTTTATTTCATCTCTTGAGGTATTGCGGTCTTTCCAGTTTCATTTATATTTTCTAGTTGACAACTTCACATTTCTGTTTCTCTTCATGCGAGTCTTAATTTATTTTCTACATATTTTTTGAAGGCAATGAAGTACAATCAAGTAACATTTGGATCTTTCGTCATCATTATTTTGATCTGTGTAAATTATTATTTCACATGCCTCCTTAAAACATTTCAATAAACCGTTTTATCCATATTGAAATAAGGAAGTTATCTTTAAAATAAATAATTTTTAAAGTTAAGATTTTGTCACCAGATATTTGAAGTGATCAATATTGGGTGATCGTAACTGTGGAACATGTTGAGAGACAATTTATATAGTGAATTTGCGAAAATCCGTTTCAGAGTGTATAAAAACAGCAGGATGCTATTTGCAAATTACTTTATCTAAAGAAAGCCACATATTTGGTAGAATGAAAGGATTTCTTAAAAAATGAATCATACAATATTCTTAAACATACATATTGCAATCCTTTTAAAGTGTCACATAACATTCACTAATTTCTTCAATTGCGAAAATAAATAATAAAAAGAAATATCGGGGATTATAGAAAATTTTGTGAATGTGCATAATATTCTATTCCAGATATTTTACTTTTTTTTACTTTTTTCGTGATTTGCCCTACAACTCTATCTATAATTAAAATAAATCGAATTCGGTTTTAGTAAAAAATTTTAATATTTAAAGAAGTTAAAAACAACTTCAAAAATACAAGTAATGGCTTATAAAAAGTTCATATGTTCAAATCTTAGAAAATTATAAATAATTTATAAATCGATTCAAACTTTATTTTTAAAGGAGATGAAAACGAAAGCAATCTTTGCTTTTTTGGGCAGAAATCAACTAAAAACAAATCTGTTACCTAGGCACTTCAAGATGCTTTTCTATTAACTATTAATAAAAAAAAGCTTTTCGGACCCGAGCTAACACAAAAACGATGAAGGGCTTCAGCTTTTATTTTTTATTCTCTCGTTTGATTGCTTAGCAACGGAGTATTTATCTGTTGTCGATTACGCAATTAGAGTATGGTTATATGTAATTTTTCCTTCTTCTACGGCGATAGTTCTTGGCCTCTTTTTACAACGCCATCAAATATATACAACTCCTTAGCACCCCAATTTTTCCGAAACTCTGCCTACCCCTTTATTTTGAGGGTCAGGAATCCAAGTATGTAATATATATATGTAACATAAAAAGCTTCAGTTAATCTTTTTATGTTAGTTCTTTTCTGAATATCCTTTTATTTTATTTTATTAATCTAATCGAAATGCTTTCTCACACTTTTAAATTCACATCCTGTCCTTAAATCTATTTTTGGCTCAACTATGCATTAATTAAAAGCAGGACATTTTCCCCTTTAATCTTCGTGGGAATCACTCGACCTATTTCATAAACCAATAGTAATTTCTAAGATTTCGCAACTTTTCGTGTACACACTTTCATGATTGCTAGCTGTCTAATAGTTAATAAATAAATTTTGTACCCTCCTTCCCTGCCTAAGACCTGTTTTGATCCTTCCACTCGGCAACGACGTTATAAGTCGCCAGGATTGAACGGTCGGGAAGGGGGTACAGTACATTATAGATATGTAATATCGCATTTGAAATTAGAGGGTACATCAAAAATATGGCATAACTTCAAATCATTCATTCAAATGGGCAGTTGAAAATTTATCAGTGAAATATTTCTTCAACTAATGGTAATTTATAACCAGTATCTTCAACAAAAATTAAATTCTTCGGTCATCAATCTTTTTGTTTATATAAATGATACCTACGCCCAGTGGAATTTGTCTTAAAGATCATCGACTTTCCTTTTGTGTATGCTGCATGTTATGTCTACGTTCTGAAGGCGATAAATACTAATAGAGAGCTGAGATTCGATCTTTTTCTCCCCTCTTAGACAAAAAAGAAAATCTACATTGGGCTCCTGATAGACGTTAAAAAGTTTTCGATTTGAAACCCCATCCCTTCCGTCCGGAAAGCGTTGATTTTGTCTCTCCCAGTGCTATTCTGTATTTTATCGTCAATAAATTGTTCTCACCCCGCCTCATTCAAGGAGAAATATGAATCCTTTTAAAGAAGAAACGATGGTCCACTTAGATGTTCGACATTCCCTCCCTCCTACTCCAGAACTCAAAGAAAAATAAGCTTCGATTTCTCCTTCACTTTCGGTGTTAATTTATGAATCATCTTAACGAAGAAACAAATTTTTTCCTTGCTTTTGGAATTGTGTTTATGGAATATCAACGCACTTTCATCTATGATGTTGCTGTTTTCAAAATATCTTCTTGGACTAATTCGAACTTTTTCAAGTATCCTTTGTGGTAATTTTTTTTAAAATTCTCATAAAACAATTTCTTTAATTTTTATTGATTAATAAAAAAAAGCACTCATGTAAATAAACAAAAATCATAGATTATGATTTTAATTTTTTTCTTCTCATACTTGATGCTTCAATTGAAACAATTATTTTTTATACATTGATCTTATTTTCATTGTTTAACAGAGATGTTTATTTTTACATTTCAAAAACTTATTTGCTGTTATTGAAATTTCTTTTCTTGAGAAATTTTTATTTTCAGAGAATTGATTGGCATAAAAATGTTTGGAGAAATTATTTTCATATTTATTGTTTTATTTGTTATAGTTTCTACGATTCATGTTGGAAGAATTTATATTTTTGTTTCACTATAGTGTGTAGGGTTAAGATGAAAATTCCATTAATTTTTTTTTTTCTCTTCTTAATGCAACTACAATAATTATTGAAATTAAATTTTAATATATGAATGCAATTGCGGTGTGGCAGAAATTATAAATTAAATCAAGAAATGCTAAAAAATAATACTAATAGTTTGGAAAATAAATAAAGTACTTGTTGTTAGAATTTGAATTGAAATGTGAAACCAGACATTAATGCTTTAGTCCAGCGTTGATAAATAGTTCATAGCTCAGTAATTTCCATAAACAAACAAAGTTTCTTATTGCTGAGAGTGAATCCCAACATAAAGATAAAGTGACCAAACACAAATTGAAAAGTAATAGTAACCAAATACACTTAAAATTACGTTAAAAATAGAAATGAAAATATTAGAATTTTTTAACACCCGATTGTGACAAATTAAATTACCAATTAAGTTCTTCGCACAAAAATTACTTTAAAAAATATCCGAACTTAAATTTTTGAAAAAGTTATGTCCAAAAAAAAAGAAAGATTTAAATAGCAAAACTGAAAATAATCTTGAATTTTCTAATATTCTTGAGACTGATTGTGATAGTGTGGGGCCGCATTGTCAAGATCATGTTGACGGAATAATGCAAATTCAAGATAATGAAATAAATTCTTAACTTCAGGAAATTTTACAAAATATTTTCAAATATTTTTCTATTAAAGTGACAAATATCCCTTTAATTGAATATCCTCGTTTCGTTCTGAATGTTTGAATATCCTTTGAATGTTTGAATACCTTTTGAATGAATCGTTCTGAATATCCTTTTATTTTATTTTATTAATCTAATAGAAATGCTTTCTCACACTTTTAAATTCACATCCTGTCCTTAAATCTATTTTTGACTCAACTATGCATTAATTAATATATATATATATGTTTATTCAGAGAAAGTGAGTATTTGTGTCTGATTTCGTAACTTAATCGTTTGCACTAATTAATTGGCATATTTGAAGTACTCTAGAAACCATTAAGATTGACACTTAGTGCGTGAAAATCCGATCATTAGAACGAAAGTTATTCAGAGTGAGGTTTGCTTACTGTACAATTGACTCCATAAGCAGGTGAATAAACTGTGAAATGTCTCTCTGTGGTCAATGCCTCTCTGTGTGTGACACTCACTGGCCGATGCGTTTCAATGTTTTTTTTCTTCAAAATTACAGTTTTTATTTATCATACTGGAATAAACTCTGATCCCACCCACTTGTTCTTGGTGTCTGTTATAATCACATAGGACACTCGAGTTTGAAACATTTTTTCGAGCAAAACTTGGCTACGAAAATGTCCATCCCTGCAGAGCCCATTGGTCAATGTGAACCCAGCCGATCGAACGCACAGAACG